CCGTTTGGTTTAATTTTAACTCGATAGATCCACTTATTTGTAATAGTTCGACGTCCTTCGGGTAACATTACCAAAGTCCACGTCTTGTTTTCCTTTAATGAATCAAGCTCCTCACACATTGCTTGCTCCCACTGCTTATGGTCAGATGATTCGACAGCTTCTTTATAGTTATCAGGTACTTTTATTTCAGCCAACATACACGAATGTTCTGAATCACCGTCTTGATTTTTACTTCGTGTACGAAGGGCTATGCAATCTTGAGTTACTGATTTAGATTTTGGTGACATCTGATTTGATCGAGTTTTGCGTACAACTGCTTGATCTTCTCCGTTGATTGACCCAAGGTCGGAATCCACGGTTTGTTCTTCACTTTCTTCCTTAGACTGTTTTGTCTCTTCATCGTCGTCAATGAATCGAACAGTTGCCAACGGACGAGATTCAACAATTTTGACGTTGCATCGTGTGTACACGTTCTTTGTGCCACGTTCCCAAAGACGGTAAGCCTTGGAACCTGGTTCATATCCCACAAGTACCATTTTCTTCGACTTCTTGTCAAACTTGTTTCTGAACTGGTCTTCAATGTGGGCATATGCATCACTGCCGTAGATACGCAGAAAGCTGACGTCTGGTTGTTCATTTGTGAACGCCTCCCATGGGGTTATCCCATCAAGTCGATCTAGTGGCACTCGATTACGAATCATTGCAGTAGTTCTTGAAGCCTCGGCCCAGAGGGATGGTGGTAGGTGAGCTACTGCCAACAAGGTGCGTCCAGTCTCGACGATTGTCCTGATTTGTCGCTCAGCTCGACCATTCTGTTGCGGTGCGCGCGGAGTCGACAACTCGTGAACTATCTTATTTTTGTTCATGACGCGTTTCATTTCCTTGCTAGTAAACTCACGTGCATTATCAGATCGAAAACGTTTTACTTCATGTCCATATGAGCTTGCGATTGCAATGACGCTTTCAACAGCGTCAATTATTTCAGTGCGGTTCTTCATGGGACGTACAATTACAAATCCTGAGAAATCGTCCACAAAGACGGCCAGCACAGTATTACCACCAAGCGACGGAGTTGACATCGGACCACAGATGTCGAAGTGTATCAATTCGGCTGGTTTCTTGGCCCGAGTATCTGATTCGATGAACTCTTTACGTGTCTGCTTTCCAAAAATGCAAGCCTCGCAGAATCGATCGGTTCTCCCACTGATTTTTGAAACGTTCATGCCTCTGACCGCTTTGCTGTTGACCATCTGATCCAGTTTCCTGTAGTTCACATGAGCGAGTCGTTCATGCCATACGAGTAATGGCTGAGTATCCTTGCATGCATATTGAGCTTCGTGCTCTGGCAGTGCAACTCGAGTATCCATCCATGTATAAATTTCGATCACAGCTATGACCAACCATTAACAATTTTCCTCTATGGTTGACTATCTTGATCAAATTTTTGTCAATGATCGTTTTGTTACCATGTCGGGCGCTAGCACCAATGCTCAGTAGATTTCGACCCAATTCCGGAATCCAGAGTACATTGTACAAAGTACCTTCGCGCTCCTTACCATTTACCATTGAAAGAATTTTGATGCTGCCTCTGCCACGTGCATAAACAATATTGTTGTTTCCTACAGTGATCAATACTGATTTGTCATCAATTGTTTCGAATGTATCAAACCAGTCTCGTCGAAACGTCATGTGATTGCTGGCTCCTGAATCTGCTAGCCACTGATCTTCTTTTGGTCGATCACTCAAATCTGAAAGGAAAGATGCTGTGAATGCGTCACCGTGCGACATCCTCTTACCTTGAGATGCGCTATTGGCTTGTTTCGGTTCTCGTCTGGGCTTTTTGCATTGTCGAGCAGTATGTCCTTCTTCGTCGCAGTTGAAACATTTTCCTTTGAATGTCTTCTTGTCTTGCTTAGGCTTTTTGCCATGCTTCGTCTTTTTGGCATATAATGCAACAGATTCTTCTTCACTGTTAAGTTTTATCTCGCCAAAACTTTTAGAGAGTTGCTCTTCTTTCATGAGACGAGGCAATAGATTAACTAATTTTTGTTCTTGTCGTGGTACCGAGTCCCAGGCTGATATTACCGAACGATAGCTTACCGGTAGTGAATGCAGAATCTTTGTGATTATCGTCGTTTCGTCTTGCTTGTGTCCAAGGTCTTCAAGTTATCGAGCCATCTGTTCGACGTTGCTGACATATTCTGACACTGTCATTTTGTTAGGATCCATCTTATATTCAAAGAATCTTGCCAGTAGTAGATGTACGCTCGTTTCATTCTTCTGCTCATACAGAGCTTCGAGCCTTGACCAGATTTCGTTCGAGGTTTTACAATTCACTATATGACGTATTTGTGACAGCTCCATTGATTGAGTCAATGCAAACCTTGCCTTCTTGTCGATAGTATCCCACCTCTCGGCATTTTGTTCCGACTTGACTGTCGTACCGCTCACAACCTCGTATAATCCGTGATAGTCGAGATAGACTGACATCTGATACTTCCAAAGTCCAAAGTCCGTTCCGTTGAACTTCGTAACCGCAATCTTGTCCATGGTTTGCGTGTTATATCTCTTTTGCAAGACAAACAACTTTACTCGAATAAATCACAGAGTTGCTTTACCGCTTGCTATCTGGGCCCATAACCTGTAGATCGTCACGTGGGATCAGGTAATTAATAAGCAGTTGTCGTGAAATCTGAGTTCTTATTCCTGCAGTTTTAATATCTGTATGCGAATCAATGGTACAACGGTTAAGAACGTAAAAATGTCTAGTACACAGATTTATAGATAAAGTAATGTAGTACAAGAGGTATTCCCGCGTGATATCTCGAGAGCGTAAGGGTCCCATTACATGCAGCGCGGAAACGCGGAAACGCGGAAACGCGGAAGAGACAGTAACTAGCCTTTACTAGATTCCCGCGTTTCCGCGCGTTCTGTTCCGTCTGTTTTCATTGCCTTAGCGGAAACGCGGAATCCGCTATTACAGTCATATTCCAGTAAATGTGTATACGTGCTCGTCGAGTAAAAATTACAAATATGCAACAAAAACTGGTAATGGAAGGCCCTGTAAGTATTTTGATAATTTGTAATATTTAATAAACATAATGTTTTGTAAATGTAAAAAATGACCTCCCTATTGAAAAAATCCATTTCGTTTTCAATTATTCAATCTTTAATTCTAGGTTAAATTTAACATTTATTTTATTTTTAATAGCAGGTGAATTAAAAATTGAAAAATCCACATGGATTTTTTCAAGAGGGGTAAGGAAACACAAAAATGAAGTGAACAACCTACTGAATGAAGTTATAACCTCACTTTGTATATTTGTTCGCAGGCAACGAAGTGTGGCTACTGCGGGTACATTTTACGAGGTGGGTCGTGTGGAACGATTTTGAACCACCACTGCTTCGAAACATACGACGAATATGTCCATGTTATTAAAGTTGATGACAATGCCGTTGTCACTATGAGTACGTGTTAACAAAATTCTTTGAGTAATTTCTGCTGCGATTTGAATCATTGTTTATTTATTTATTTATTTTAAAGGAAAGAGACACGAAAGTGAAGATCTTTTGCCGCATTCAGAGGAAGCAGCTGCCCAGTCCACATCTTTATCGCCGTGTCTACTCAATCAAGATGAGTTGCTAATTGAGTTAGTGCGGGTCCGAAAGGGTTTGTGGGACCATTCAATACCGCCCAGCGAGAGAACAAAATTAAAAAAAGACGGTCTGTGGCAAGAGATAATGAATATATTTGATGGTAAGATCATTTTTTAATTACCTGCATGCATATCTGCGTATAAAAGTAAATAATAAACGATTCTTCTATATACAACTCTGGTGGAATCGTAGGATCCCTGTCTATGGAAACAATTAAATAAAAATGGAAACACCTCCGAGATTCTTACATGAAGGCTCGGAAGAAAATGCAGGGATACGTGCGAAGCGGATCGGGGGCGGAAGCTGGCCATCCTGTAAAAAGCTCATTCGCGCATTATGAAAAAATGAGATTTCTGGACGATACCGTCAAAACAGCATCGTAAGTATTTATTCATTACGTCTGTTTTTCTTGTCTATACTTTCTACACTTGTACCGTGGTCCGTATTTTTACCAGCCAATGAGAACAAAGAAGAACTAGGCTATTGTTTATTAACAGGCATTTAACAAACATTCTAATTGTGTACAATTGGATTTGAAATTTGTAAAATTGTTTTGGTTTCAGGACTGTCAGCTCCGTCCAGCACCTCTTGGAAGCGGCGAGTTCATCCCATCAGCATGTTGACGATGACATGCAAGTGGACAAGCCTGCCGATGATCACATGCTATATATTAGTGATGATTTATCAGATTCTGCATGTCCATCATCAGCAGAAAAATCCTCATCTCGAACATCCCGAAGTTCATCGATAGGGGCGAAAAATACAAGTATGTGGCAATTTTCTATTGTCTATCGTAGCGAAGTGAGGATTTCTTACGCATTGACCTACGGTCTTGGAGAAATACGTTTCAAAGCTCTCGCAGGAACTTTGAAACGTATTTTTCACTAAATTTGAAATTAATAACTTCACTAAATCCTTGTTTTTAACAATATATTATTATTTACAGAATTGCAAAGGCAAGCTGAGATCGAGAACAAATTTCTTAGGATCATCGATGAAGAAGCGCCCAAGAAACGAGACATAGTCGACAGTTATTTGGACCAGCTTGGCGACCTTTTACGCCGACTATCCTACATACGACGCAGAAACCTGCAAAGAAGGCTCATGGATATTGCTATAGCGGAGGAGGATGAACAGCTTCTGGAGAGGGAGAACGCCCAGTGAAAAATATTTGTTTTTAATATTATAAATTTTCAACTTTTTGTATTTGTCATAAGGAATAAAATATATTTTTATTATGTTGTTGTACAAAGAGTTTGAATATCGTCAAAATAGATAACAAACGAATGCTGTGCCGTGAAATACTTTTTAAAACAATATTAATACTTGTCAAAAGTTGTTAGTTAAAACTTTGTCCCACTGCCACGGTAGAGGACATGCTCGAAATAGTGAGCAAAGTTATCTCGAATCTTCAGTGCTTTAGACTTTCGCGAACTGCTATTACGTATGTCTGTAAGTTCATTAGTAGCCGAGAGGTTGCGCTCTTCTTCTTGTAGATTACAGTACTGTCTTTCTGCAAGTGGTAAGTCTAATTCTTGATTAATAATAAAATTATGCAAGATAACCGTGGCCTGTACTGCTTTTACAGCAGTAGATGTGCATGCAAGAATAGGTTGACGATATATTCTCCATCTTGCAACCAAAATCCCGAAAACACATTCAACCGTTCTCCTTGCTCGACTCAGGCGATAGTTGAAAATTTTTCGGCTGATATTCAGCCGTCGACTCCGAGGGTATGGTCGCATCATATGTGTGCTCAGGGGGAATGCCTCATCTCCCAATAGAACGTATGGAAACTCGAAATCCATATTATTCAGACGCGTAGGTGGAGGGATATGGAGAGCATTTGTCTGAAATAGATGCGGTAATCCACTGCTTTCAAAAACACCTCCGTCGCTTTGCCTCCCTTCAGTTCCAATATCAACAATTGTGAAGCGGTTCTTGGCATCACTTACTGCGAGCAGGTTTATGCTATGGTTTCCTTTGTAGTTGTAGTAGCAGGAACCACTACGAGGCGGTGCCTGCAATTGGAAAAAATCATATTATTGTGATAACATACATTAATAATTTCAAAAGCTTCATACATCATTGCATTATCAATGAACCTGAATTAATATTAATAAATTCATAATGTACCTGAATTACGACATGCTTTCCATCGATAGCGCCTATGCAGTTTGGAAATTGGCATGTTGTCGCAAAGTCTTCTGCTATTGTTCTCCAATTGTCTTCGGTTGGATCAATCATAAACTTTTCCTTTAGGGCGAGCCAAATTGCTTCACAAGTTTCCGGAATTATTCGTGATAGCGTACATTGGGCAATGCGATAAGCATACGATAACGATGTCATGCTGTCACCAGATGCCAACCATCGTATAGTCACTTCTAATCTCGTTCTGGCCGGTATCGGTTTCCGAATTACATTTTCCTTTTCGATCAAAGGTCCGACAATATTGAGCAACTCGTTGAAGATTACAGCTGACATTCTGAGGTAGTTGAAGTACTTATTCGGATCCTCCAATCGCATCTCCACAATTAGATTGTCGCTGTCACCTTGCAGAAGTCTTCTCCTCTCCGTAAAAATAGGCCGTACCCACATTTCACGGTTCTTTCTGTCATCTTGCAATTCCTTGTAACGCATGTACAAATAAAATAGACGAATTACTTTTTGCATAGTTATCTCAGCGTATCGTATCGGTTCATCTCTTGCTTGTTTCAGATACTTCATAATGACCATCAGCATGATATTTGGATCCATTATTACTGATTACACAGCCACTTTGAAAAGAATCGAAGTATATAAAAGATTTATTTTTCAATCTACTCTGAAATTTGATCGTATTCACTGTATACAGCCTCCGCGTTGACAACGGATTTTGACGCGCTCTCGTTCCGCGAGTTTGTTTACCCTCATATTACATGGAGCACAATTTACGCGGAAAAGCGGAACGGTATGGTGACAAATAGACATTTGTATTCATTTTTTAACATTATGTTCACTTAATTCATTGCACTTTTTATTAATCTGCTTATCTTTTCAGCTTATCTATTGAATACAAGCATTTTAATCAATAAATACCGTTAAAAATTAATATTTTATAATTCTCCGTTCCGCTTTTCCGCTCAAAATATGCTCCATGTAATATAAGGCAATGAAAACAAACGGAACAGAACGCGCGGAAACGCGGGAATCTAATAAAGGCTAGTTACTATCTCTTCCGCGTTTCCGCGTTTCCGCGTTTCCGCGCTGCATGTAATGGCACCCTAAGTATAACCATAGGATATAAAACAAAAACAAAGATATAATAGATAGATACGCGCGGAGAATCTAAGAATCAAAAGATAAAGTAAACGCGAACGTCAGCGCCATCCGCAGTGAATGAGGCGCATTATCTCCAACAAACTCTATCAAAAAGAGTTTTTCAGGTTCCACCCATGAAAAATCTCACAATCAGCAAAATAAGGACGGAAACTTCTCTATTACGTCCAAGGTTATGTACAATTATACAGTCAATGAGTACCAACTTGATAATAAGGGCCCTTTCACTATATGGGTTCAATCAAACATGCCATTACAGTCGAATAATTCTTACTCACCTATAAGGTTAAATTCGTTCAAAGTGGGAAGACTGGCATGCAAAAAATATTCCAATATTAGTTATATTTGCAGCAAATCCAGATCTAGAGTGGAAGTTGGATTTAAAAACTTTGAGGAAGCTAATCAATTATTAAAGGACCCTTCATTAACAAACAATGAACTGAAACCGTATATTCCGAGTTTCTGACTTACAAGAAGAGGCCTAATTAAAGGCATCGATGAAGATATATCAGAGAAAGAAATTACGCATTTGAGGCTTCTACGGTTATCTTCTTCGATTATATTAGAGGGTTTGCGGGTTATCACCGTGTCTTCTTTCATGGTCGATGCCAACGTTTCGTGAACCATGCTGTTCACTTCATCAGGACGAAGGGTGCACTGATACTGAGCTGCTTCCCCGCGGGACTTCCTTTTTATAGGTAAAACGCTGTTGGGAGGGGGAGATTTTGGGAAGTGGGGGGATACTCCGTTGGTCTGTTATGAGAGCAGTTTTCCATATCTTGCTCACAGTATAACCTGAGTCTCTGTTTAAGTTGTCTAGATGTTTCTGTATTTCCAGGACCTCTCTATGTTTCCTCGGGAAATACGATGTTGTCGTGGCTAAGGTTGTCGTTTTGTCGAATAGTATTTGGTGTCCTGTCTCCAAGTTGTGTTTTGCCAGGGCTGATTGTGTGACGTGTTTCAGCCTGACGTCCCGTTCATGCTCCTTCATTCGTGTGTTGACCGTTCTTCTTCCGGTTTCGCCAATATACACCTTCCCGCATGAACAGGGTATTTTGTACACTCCTGCCGAACTAAGTGGAGATCTCTGATTCTTGGGATTTCTTAATATTTGTTCGATCTTCCTTGGAGGCTTGAAGATAGTCCTGATGTTGTGTTTGTTCAAGATCTTACCGATTCGATCTGTTGTTCCTTTTACGTATGGGAGGAACGAGAGCCATTTTTTCTCTTCCTGTGATTCTTGTGTGTCTGTTCTTTTTATCTCACTCCTTTGTTTGTTGATTGTCCTGTTCACCTCTTCCTTATTGTATCCGTTCCGCTGTAAAGTTTCTTTCAAATGGTTAAGTTCCGTTTGCAGATGTTCTTGGTCAGAAATGCTCAGAGCTCGGTGAGTGAGTGTATTGCCGATTGTTTTTGAGCCGGGTGGTGGTGTGACTCCGCATGTAAGTATCTGTCGGCTTCCTATATACCTGGAGGCCCAATGTGTTGTCCGCCTTCTTTGTGACAAGAACGTCCAAGAAGGGGAGCTTACCGTTCTCTTCTATTTCCATAGTGAATCGGTAAGATTCTGTACCGGTAAGAATCGGTAAGATGGAATTCACTCACGCACAGAGCACTGAACGGCAGAAGCAGAAATTCAACAGTTTGGCCCCACACAAAGGGCCACAACCCCTACTCTATACAGTAAAAAACGTATCAGACAAAAACCTGTCCCCGGACACTATTCCAGTTTTGAAGGAGAAACTTTTCACTCCATATAATGAGGTGGTAAAAGAAAGAAAAAGTATGAATGTTCCGTCCGGAGAAAAATCCACAAATTACGTAGATAAGTCAAATTCGACATCCAGTCAACACTACAAATTCCAGAAAGACAATTGTACAGACTTCATTGGATCAAGAGACTCGTCATCGCCGTCTGATGGAGTAGCTCTACAGAAGTTTATTCCAACAGATCATAAGGAGAACAGCGACAATGTCAAAGGATCAATAATGAACAAAACAAGCTTAATTCAGGATCCTAATCCAACAAACCAGCGTAAAACGCTCTCGGATCTCTCCAATACTAATAAAAACTTATTAGTTAAGAACGAGAAAAGTAAGACATCTAGCAGCCTTTACTCACGTGAGGGTAAAGCGATAAGAACCTACCAAAGACCAGCCAAAGAAACGTCAAAAGCTAAGATCAACCAAGCTAAAATAGGTCGTATATAAAATATAAGGTGTAGTAAAAAGAAATCCATTATTTTGCATGAAATTGAAGGCTTTATTTAGTATAGTTAGAATGATCCGACTTAGGTCAAATATGCACCGTTTTGTTCGATAATTTGTTGCCATTTTGAAGGTAATTTCAATATGCCTCTCTCATAGAAACCCTCGTCCCTATTGGCAAAAAACTGGGACAGTTGATTTTCACAAGCTTCTCTTGAGTCGAATTTTTTACCAGCAAAATCATTTGCCATAGACAGGAACAGGTGGTAATCACTTGGAGCCAGATCCGGACTATAAGGTGGATGCATAAGAACCTCCCAACCAAGCTCCCGGAGCTTCTGGCGAGTCACTATCGATGTGTGTGGCCTTGCGTTGTCCTGATGGAACACAATTCCTCTCC